ATGAATGGGAAGACCTTCAAGACTAATCCAAACTGGAATCAATGGGGAATCAATATTTGGATCAAAATCATGAGTCCAACGGAACACTTTCAAAATAAAGCCATTAATCTTCCAGTATTTTCGCAGCAAGCATCGCAGAAAGTCATTCTCAGATTCGAAATTAATTAAGATGTGAGATTCATCTAGCAAACTTACAATAAACTCCTTTTCAAAAGCAATTCGTTCAAAGGCCTTACGGATTGAGATTAGGCATGGTCTACCCTTGGTGAATCGACCCACGATTGTGCGAACAAACCTAGCAGACAAATTGTTGATTTCTTCATCTGAGAAGGATATAGCCGGTTGGCCTTTGTATTTCGTCGCTGGTTTGTAGTCGCCCTTGATAGCTATGTCGTTGAAGCTTCGAGGATGAGGGAGAGTGGTGGCCATTGCTAGAAGATGGTCGCCGGCCCGCCATAGTGGCGGACGGCGGAAACCTAGCCGAGGAGAAATCTAGAGGGAGAGAGCATTACATATATATATATAATGGGTTTAGAGAGAGAGGATTTCTTAGGCGATTTGGGCGATTCACGCCATCGCCATGGCAATCATTTCCGTTCAAATCCAAGAGAAAGGGTCATCCTCCAGTCAAAAGCGTATCGCCGGTTTAATGTTCGTCGGCCTCAAGGATTCCAGGCAGAAGGGTTCCATTGGAATGAAAATCACATATTTCAGAGAGGGGCTCATCATTGTCCGTCTACAGACTGCTGGTTGTGGAAGAGAACCCTAAGACAAAATGACTATTCGAAGGATCCAAGGCAAAATCGTGATAGTCTCAATCGGTTTCACTCCTTTCGAATCCAATCCAAGGTTTTTAATCTTTTTCACTCTTTTTATAACCAGAATTTCTGTATTAGTGAAGTTGGGAGGAAGAATTATAATATCTGGTTTGATTTCCAAGGGTTGGAATGGATTCTTGAGATTTTCCCCAAATTAAATCGGAAAAATGCTTGGGCTATTACTCGGTTTGAAAGGCAGCGAAAAATTTCCATCTCAAATGGGTCAAATAGGTGGGGAAGTTTTATCAGAATTCTTGAGTCTAGGGTAGAAGGGAGCACCTCTATTGTTATTCCAGTGGATAAAGGAGGTTCAAATTGTTTCTATAACGCTGTTGATGCCTTCTTTGGGAAGTCTAAGAATACTGATACTATTCCTAATGCGAACACACTGGTCCATGAAAAAGTTGAGTTATCCGAAGACAAAGCTTCTGCTGGGAATTGTTTTAGTCAAGGGGCAGGGGGAAATGAACATCCAGTGGGCACACAGACTTCTTTGGAGTTTATAGCTCCTCAAAATAATGAAGAACATGGGATACAGACAGTAGCTCTACTGCAAAAAGACTCAGTTCTAAGTGTTAAGGAGATTGATCATGCCACTCCTGGGGGGTTGACCACAGAAGAAGAGTCTTTAAAAGCATGTCTACTGAACCATGAAGAGCAGATGATTATCGAAGGGCTGTTTAAGCAAGCACCAGAAGTGGAAGTTTCAAGAACAGATGATCCAATTCAATTTGAACTTAAGCTAATGATCATTGATGATAATGTGGAAGAACCAGCAAGCGGAGATCTCCAAAAGGAGTTTGAGATTCTTAAGCCCATATTTGAGCAACATATTAGCGATGATTTTGAGCAATCTCTATGGATGATTAAGGAATCTTTGCGTTCGCCTTTCATCAAGGATAAGATTCAGAAGGGACTTGTTCAAACTCTTCAGGGCAAGGCAATAAAAGCTACAAGGGATGCTATGAAGAGCGCACAATGCATTAGGGCAATCAAGATAAAAGGTACGCGACATCCAGTCCTACTATCATGCGCCAACATTGACGAACCTATCATTACGTCTTTGTGTGAACACCTCATAGACAATGAATGAATGGAAGGACTTCTGGGGACTCTTTCACAGTGGATTACTTCTAATACATGGTCACCTTGAGACCCTACTGGTTCTCTTGTTTATGGGCACTAATTAATTAGGTTTTAGAGATGCAACTCTCTACTGCAACTGGATACTCTACTGCCCTGTGCTCATTGACCTGCATGGATTGGGAGTAGTGACATGAGGACTCACAGTGATGATTTTTGGTCATGCTTATCTGCTGCTTAACTGCTTAAGCCAGCCTGAATGGTACACTACCTCTTTAATATACTTCCAACTAGGAACAAGTCAAAGTACACCCATATTCCTGCAGTAGAGAGGTCCACCACGTTGGGATGAGATGTTTGAAGTATACTTTGGCTTCAGTGATGGCAGACGCAAGATAAGAGCTTTCTTCTCCAACCATATGAAGACAACAAGAGACAAAACAAAGCATTGGGACCTATTTAAGTTGTTGCTTTTTGATGCTCAATTTTTATCTTTGGACTTTAAGAGTTTTCAGGCCTTGTAGGGGTCCGGCCAACCACCTCCTTTGTACTTTTTTCTCTTTCTTTCTCTTTCATTAAAAAAACTTTTAAATAATATATATATATATATATATATATATATATATATATAAAAGAGGTAAAATCATTTCATAGTTTAAAATAAAATAATATAATAGATATAGTACATTTTTTTGATATTTTAATTTTACTTAAAGAAAAATGCAAGTGTTAATATGAACTTAAATTTTGTTTAAAATCAAAGTTTTAACCCGTTGGGTCGACCCAAACCGAATGATAATGGTGATGAACATATAGTTCTCTACTTGAACCCACATTGACCCGAACATGAAGTAGTATGAACCCGAAGTAACCTGAAATTTTAAAAAATGAAGTCATCAGTTGTTNTGAAAATGTTACGTAATGGTACTTTCAGCGTGTTCAAAATTAACTGTCATGTTAAGGAAGTTGTTTGGTGATTAGGAGTAGCTTTTAGAGCAAAAACTAAAACTTTCTCAAACATTTTACTTGGTGATGAACTAAAAACAATAACAACCAACGTTGTCTCACCATGTCCTTTATCTGCATGTGTTCTCCATTTTCTCTGGCCTCTCCCTTTCCATTTTCTTATCTAGGTCAATCATACCGGGAAATCTGCAAGACAGTAAAACGCAATTGCCTTAACTCAAAACACGACCTAGAGTCTGACCTAAAAATTAAAATCCAACGGATTGTACCCGCAAACCTAACGCAAATTTGATTGTCAAACACTAAAGTTAAAAGTCAACCTAGAACCTAACCCAAAACCAACCCCAAAATCAGGTCCAATCTCCAAAGTAAGAAACAAAATCCCTACCCAGAACCTAACCCAACAACCAATTGCAGGGGTGCATTAAGCTATTCCCATGTTTAAAAATTGTGAATAAGTACAAAAGAAATGAATATGACAATTTGCCTCTTCTTTCTATGCCGAACGCCCTCCTCTCCATCTCCGACCCCTGATTCGTTAAAGTCTCTCATCGTTTCTTGATCTACTCGCTTTCTTTGTCTCCTGGTATTCCTAGGGGAAGCAAGAACTGAAGAGGCATTTCGGGTCCTGCGTCTCCGGCGAGCGCCGGAGGGCTCGGCGACGTGGTCAACAGTTTCAAGATTCTCCGGTAAACGTGACTTCGTTCTCCGATTTGGGGAAGGGGAGATGAGAAAGAGTTCTCGGTTTGGGACTGAAGGGGAAATTTCAGCAGCCACATCGATTCGACGAATTTTGGAGCGCCTTGAAGACGATCTTGTTCGGTTTCTGGGTTCCGGCGGCGGAGGAGTGGAGTCCATGAACTTGGTTTTTTCCGGCGAGCTGATGTTTGAAAATGAGGAGAATATGTGGAGGTGGTACAAAGAGATACGTTGGAATATGTTTGAATTGACGGGTTTTGTAGGGTTTTTGGTTTTTTTGTGACTCCATGTTAGACCCGATTGGGTCGGGTTAGGCAGACCATCATAGCAATTTAGCAAGTAGCAACCCAACAAATAAAATCCAAACTCATACAGTTTTTTTCTTTTTTTCACTCATTTTTGTACACTCCCCGTTCTAAAATATTTCACATATTTTTTCCAACAAATACGAGAAATTTTGTTTATTTGTACGTTTTTATTGATTATTTGATAAAATAAAGTATTCTTGAAATCTCTTATTTCTAAGAGCTTTTCATGTACTTTTTAAATATGTAAATTTTATTTTTTATTTCTATATCGACATTTCAAAAAAATGAATTCAAAAAATTTGATGTTTTGCCTCATTTTTTTAAAATGTGGTAAACATTTAGGAATTGATAGAATATTGAACATCTTTTTTAATAACTGGGGAGAAAGACTTAAATAGGACCAAAACATTGTAAATATACCAAAATAGGAGTCAAAACTTAAACTTCCCTTGGTAGGACTAAATTTGGCACGGGTTTCCTAAATTACCCCGTACAAGTTCCGTTTTTTGGTACAAGTTTGAGTTCCATTCAATTAGAACATTGTTCTTCCAATGTGGTTTTAAAAGCAACATTGTGTCGGCCAATGAATCCCTAACATTTTTAAATTAAATTACATGTACTCGACACTTTTACTAAAAAAAATACATCTATTTAAAAATAAAATTATTAAAAATGTGACATTTCTTAAAAAAACTATCATCCCAGTTTACGCCTAATGTCCTTGCCGTCTTTACTACCGCTACCACTGTCACCGCCGCTGCCTTTGCAACCTACTGAAATTGTCACCGACGTTGTTGCAGTCTGTCACCGTCTCGTATAGTGCCATACAAACTCTAAAAAAAATTTAAAAGAATATTAATACAGTACCCAACAAAGCCATAATATAAAAAATAATTAGAAAGTACCTTAAATATGAATAAAGCATAGAAAAAGTATCATTAATCACGCTACATGTCTACAAGACCACAAGTACTTGGACCACATGTCCACATGTCACATTACCACAATGCAAACTCTTATTTTGGAAATAAAACAATGGAGCTTCTATGTTAGTACTTTCTCAAAAGTGGGAGTAAAAAAAGAAAATATAATTAACAAAATAGAAATTTCATGTTTTTATTCTTGAAATTTGAATTAAAATACATTTACATTACTAAGCATGACCATGTGCATTACAACAAATGCTTAAGTAGAGTGTCATATTACCACATTGCAAACTCGTATTTAGAGAATAAAAACATAGAACTTTTATTTGAGAAAAAGACCAAAGTAAGACTAAAACATTGAAAATATACCAAAATATGACTTCCATGCTTTTATTTCCGAAATACGATTTACATTACCATATATGGTCATATACATTACCAAAAAAGTATAGTAATTTGCACATGTACATTGCTACATTACAACAGGGCAAAGTCATATTACCACAGTGCAAAGTCTTATTTCGGAAAAAAAACATGAAAATCCTATTTTGGTACTTTTCTATATGTTTTAGTCATATTTAGGGTGATTTCTACTCCTATTTTGGTACTTTCTTTATGTTTTATTTCTTTAAGCATTAAAGTAATTAAACACAAAAGGATAAATGTGTCACACAAGGAAAAGGAAATATAGAAATTAATAACTCCATGTAGAATAAAAGAGAGGAAAAAAGAGAAGATTTTTATGCAAAACAAGAGGAAGGAGAGATAGAAAAACAAAAACAAAAAAGGGACGAAAGAGAAAAAAAAAGATGAAAACCAAAAAAAGAGGGAAGTACAGTTATCGCAAAAGTAAACAAAAAAACACAGGGGCGAAAATAAAACAAAAAAAACACACAAAATAAAAGAAAAACAAGAAAAAAAACTCCCTCATTAAAAACAGGAGAAAGGAGAGGATAAAAACTCCCGATCAAGGGTAGAATTGTAATGTTTAGTCCTATTTCGAGGATAAAAACATAGAAGTCCTATTTTGGACATAAACTCTATGTTTTAGTTCTATTTAGGGTGATTTCTTTAATAACTAACTTAATATTCGTATAGCCAAATTAAGTAAATTAATTTGGAACAATTAGATGGTGTTTGGGAGTGATTAAAGTGCACAAAATAGTGGTGGAGAAAAGTAGAAACTAACATGCCAAATAGAGTAAATAAAGGCATAAAGCAATTGACTACTACCTCCGTCCCAGAGTATTTGTCCACTTTCATTTTTACACATCATCCAATACACTTCTTTAATCCATTTTATCTTTTAATTTGTATATTAAAAAATTATAGAAATTATATATTAATAATCTATATGTTAAGACAAATTAAACAAGATCACACATGACTATATTTAGGCTTAAACATTGAGAGAATTTGATGAGTCAAAGTACTTAGATGAACAGTTCCAAAAGTCAAAACTGGACGAATACTCCGGGACGGAGGGAGTATTAAAGAGTACATAGATATGTATGATGTATTTGTTCACTTTAAGTTGCTACAATAAAATTTGGAAAATTTTAATTAGAAATGAAAAAAACTTACATATGATAACTACTACAAAAATGATTTAATTACATTTATATTACGAAGTAAAAAAACTTCAGAAAAAATATTTTATTTTACTAATAGTCAATTTTTAACTCGCGTCAATCAACAATTTAATTCTCTAATTGACTTTACATGTATATTTAGGACATAAAAATTGCTTCAATTTTCCCTTTTTGCCCTTAGAGCACTTACAATGGGGATATTTTCCCCCGCCTCAACTCTTGTCACAACAGGAGTCTACTAACTTTTCACCTTGCTCCAAGATTCTATAATACTATCATCCAGAAAATCAATCTCTTTATTTTTTACTTTATTTATTATTTTTAATTGCAATTTTTTTAAAAAAATACATACAATTAAAAAAATGCTAAGATTGACATTCTTTATTAAAATCAACATCGATATACTAGTACACAAAATAAAAATTTAAAAAACAAACAAAAAAAGATTGAAATTATTGACGAAATTATTTTTTAAAAATATTGGTTTGAGGGATGAAGAGAAATTAAGAAAATAGGTAAATTGAGAGAGATGAGAGAGGATGGATTGAAGTGGAAGATGTGTTGAATTGATAAGGTTGAATAAAAAAGGGAAACCCGGCGCGGCTGAGCGCTGTAGTGGGCGGCCGCCACGAAAAACCACCGAATCTTTAGCCCGGCTCTACGCCACTCTTCGAGCGTGCTCTGGGGCTTAATTTGTGACGGGAAGGCTACAATGGGCCGCGGTGCTTATTTTGCGGTGGTGGAGGGCCACAGTGCAGCACGGGGAAGCGTACGGTGGAGCCGCTTCCTCTCCTCAGTGTAAATGTCTTTAAGTATCTAGAGAAAGTAAATAAAGTAAAAAATTATAGATGAATATTGGAGATATAATAGTTAAAGATAGATAATGAGAAGTAAGATAAAGTGTATCCAAAACTGGGTGATGCCTAGCTAGTATAGTCTGTTTAGAATAAAAAATTTTCTAAAAGAAAAAAGAAAAATAGGAAAATACTATTTTCTAACATACTTAAAAAATATACTCCGTAAAAAGAAAGTTTGTAGACATGTCACATGTGGAAGTATTTGTTTGGGGGGAGGGGGGAAGCTGAAACAAACTAGCTCCAAGTCTCCAACGATTGAGAGTAGCTCTCATGATAGTCATTTTCAGACTCTAATGTCTTCCGAGAGGGTGTATGAAATTCAACGCAATCACACCTTCACTCGATGCATCCTTTGTGAGCCAGTCGACAAAACAATTAAGGTCATGGAGGGTATAATTATAGTCACGCTTAGATCTCTCGCAATATATTAGTTGCATCTTATTATATTAAGAATGCTACATTGTCCTCATTGTTTCAAGTCACTATTGAGCCAATTAATCGCTTGTTAAAAATCGCTAAGCAAATTAAATTTCTTATTTATCGTGTTCCCAAGCCCATTTAATCCCAACGTAGAACTCATTTAATTAAGGAGTAATAGTTATAGAACTTATTCATATCAAATAGTAAATATTAAATCAGACAAATACTCCATCCAAAGCAGATTACATTTTTTGCTTAACGAACTAAAACACTACAGAGTATTTTTAAAAATTATTTTATTTAAAAAAAGTGGTGCAAGAATAAAAAATCAAAACTTAGATATTTTCTTCGTCCTAAAACATTCTTCCCGTTTTAGTGGACGAGGTTTGATTAAAAATATTTTCAATTTTATTTATTTAATTAAAGGAGAAAAGTTAAAAATTAAAAACTATATCATCTAAAACTCTACAAAACAAAATGTGACATGACTATATTATTTTATTAAATTACTAACAAATATGGATATAAAGAAAGGTAACACAAAATGAGAAGTTTTTTTTGGAGGATAAGACTACTTTTTAATACGGAGTATTTATCACCGAGTACTATACATGGATGATGGATCTGAGAAAGTAATGTTTAGAAAGAAAAAATGGGCGCTTTTAGCGGCTTTAAAATGCAGCTGCGCCGAGGTGAAAGGGTGAAAACGGAAAGGAAGATTAAACCAAACCTGCGTGCGGAAAGGGTAAATGTCTGTCTGTATGTCTGTCTGGTTAAAGGTTGAAAATGTATCCACACGCTACACTAAAATCGGCCGCCGCATTTGTTTTCTTTCCGTAACGGCCGCGTGTCATGTTCTCCCTCCATTCTTAATTATCTGTCTTTTAAGGTTAATTCACGTTTTTTTAAGAATATATTGATTTTTTAGCGTAAATCCTAATATGCCCTTAATTAATTCGAAAGCATGCATGCCCATACTAATTTAATATTCCTACTGCGCGGTATTCCTTCTCCCATGGTGGTTTAGATTCTCAAGGAAATTATCTTTAGTTTTTGGTTCATGCTCCCAAGGAAATTACATTTACTCCGTACTTAAAACTTGAGTTGTACTCCTAAAATACAAAGCGGTAAATAGTCATTTCATTACACATTACTAGACTCGAACCCGTGCGATGCACGGGCTATTATTTGACATATAATTACTCAATATTTTTTTTGAGGTAAAACTCAATATTTTTATTAAGGAAAAAAGTTACAAAAAACTACTCCCTCCGTCCCACTGTGTTTGTCCACTTAGCTTTTGGCACACCATCCAATGTACTTCTTTAATCCATTTTATCTTGTAATTTGTATATTGAAAAATTATAGAAATTATTTATTAATAATCTATATGTTAAGACGAATCAAACAAGATCACACATGACTATTTTTAGGCTTACACATTAAGAGAATTTGATGAGTCAAAGTGCTTAGATAAACAGTTCCAAAAGTCAAATGTGGACAAAGACAATGGGATGGAGGTAGTAAAAGATTATATAAATTGAAAGAGTAGAAAAAAAAGGAGAGTTCAAGAAGTGTTATATGTTTTGAAACAATTCTTTATAAACTACATTCGTAATTTGACTACATAAAGGTCTTAAATGCAAATCAAAATCTTTAACACTTTTCGTGCGTTGCACAGTATGAATATTTAACTATTATTTTAAAGAAACAATGAATAAATTTTACTCCGTATGATATAAATAAATTGGATTCAAATAAAGTGAATGGGTGAGAAATCAAAAAAAGAATTTATATGATAGATAAGAAGTTAATAATAATTTAAGTTAACACCAATAATAATAAAGACCAGTTACCATGGCATTGAGAAATAATATCATGAGATAATCCAGAGGTGCTCCAATGCTCTGTTTATAAAATTAATAGTTTCTACCTCACTAATTCCCAGGTACCAAAAATCCTATAAACATTATTTAAATATAAATAACTTAAAATAAAAAGAAGAAAATCTTAGACCTTGAAAACACATAAAACCTCACCTCAAGGAAATTAAATTTTCAGTTAGTAATAATTATTATTCCACTAATCCAAAATGCTTGAAAAAAATGTAAGTTTCTTTTGAAGATTGTAAAAAAAAAGATGAAAACATGCATATAATGCAAATTTTAAATTGAGAAGAAGAAGGGAATTACATACTCAAAGATGATTATTTGGTCTTGAATGAATGTTTTGCCACACAACAAAAGAATAACCAAACCACCCTTCAAACGTTACCAAACCATTCACAATCAATCTCAAATGTGATACTAAGTCATGGATAAGTTGAAAACAACTTTTAACAATATGCTTGTAAAGTTTTTCATCACCTTAACTTTAAGATTTCAAAAAGCAAGAAACAAAATACCTATACTAGGTACTAATATTGGACCTGCAACTCTTCAAATGGCATATATTTCAAATCAAAAGCAAATCAACATTAATAGTATTACATAAACTTGTAATCTTAATACAATATATCATTCTTAGAGTTTAACAACAAATAACACTACGCAGGAACATACAATGGCCTTACCTCATTGTGTAAAGACTGCTCACGATAAATTAACCTGTTGTGACAAAGAGAAAAATGAATAAATAAATACTTCTTATATCAAAAACTTTGTGCTCCTCGTACATTAAGAGGGGTGTAAATTCAAAGAAATGTTTTGATAAAACAAATTCATGAGTTAATTTAATGTGCTAGCATGATAAGTCATTGGCAACAAAAGCTCTAGTTCATTACTGATAAGGTACTTCCTCTTTGTAAGCCAAGCCCTAATAGTTTGTAATGTTCATTGTTCACCATTAAAGGGAAGCCACATCCTAAAATTAAGAAAAATAGTATTTTATGATTAAAAATGGTGCAAATGAGAAAACTATAAGGACCACAGTTTTTTTCAAAAGCACAAAGTAAAATCTTTCTTTTGGGACAAAATAAAGTAAAACCTTTTTATGGGACAAAAGTAACATATACAATGATACTATTTGTTTTTCTAATTTGCCTGCGAAACTAAATGAAGAAAAAATAAAATGTATCATTTATTAAACAACTAACTCAAAAAAATGAAGACATTAGCTTCACATGTTATATCTCCTTCATTAACACTTTCTAGTTTGATATGTAGCTAATGAAATACTCCAATGTAACTTTTTATTTGACTTGCAGAGATGACATGCTTACATTTAAATTCCTTTAGAAGATCGATCAACTAACTGCAAACAATAAGAGATTTTATAATATATACTCCCTCCGTTCTCAAAAACACTTCTTCTTTCATTTTTTTCACTTCCAACAAAACACTTGCCTTTCTATTAAAAAACCACTTTTACCCTTATTTTTTCATACCCTACCTATCACATCATATTTTTTTCCTAATAATTTATCCATCACATCTTACTTTTACTCATCACATCAGGGACAAAATTGGAAATTAACTATAATTTAACACTTCTTTATTTTTGCCCCCAAATCAAATGGGAAGGATTTTTCCAAACAGAGGGAGTTTATATTTCTTTGTACTCCGTATATGTTCCGAGATGGAAAATGGATGGAACTTAATGCAAGAATACTCTCTTATCAATTTAATCAAAATGGTTTTATTCAAAACCATAAAATCAACTTTTTTTTCCTTACATAGGGGCCATTAGTTTAAAAACAAAGCCATATCCTCGTTGAAAAATAAAAAAAATGAAAGATTTGGTATGATGATTCTCAATTGTAAAAAAACCACATAAAGAGTAGAATAAATCCTTACCTTTTTTATATTGAGCCATCATTCTCTTCACGTCCAAAGAGACTTCAGTTTGGCTACTGCATCACCTGAAAATTAAGTAGCTAAACACTGAGTCTGTGACAACATAAGGTTCATGCTGAAATTTCAGTGAAACATCATCAGGTTATCAGGTCAAATATGCAAAGCAAAGATAAAAACAAAATAAAAAACTGAAGACAAATACATCAAGTTTAGAAATATTTGTATCAATGCCATTGAATTAGAAATGAATATTTATAGGGAAGCAAGATTATACAATGCAACTACCTTGCCTAGCTGTTTCAACCTCCAATGTAATTGTTGACAGAATCCCTTTGTCGGGCTAAGGGTCAAAAACCTAGCCAAACCCACCACCATCCTCACCATGGTGGCCTTCCACCTTCTGCATGCCAAGGGTTTTGAATCTGGAAACACAAATGGTCAAAAGCCTAAAATTGTGTGGTAAATACAGAGTATAAATATATTGAAAAAAAAGAAGAAAAAAACATTACCTTCACAGTAAATCAATTAAATTAACATATGTTTTGCTGAAAAAATCACCCTATAGCCGTGCTCATATAGACTTCTAGAGCAAGACCCCCACCCGGCTATCCTCTTTGTGCCCTTGTTTTTACCCAACCCATTTGGCAGTGACCTGACCCATTATATTTGGGTGGGAACACTGCAACAACATAAGAGTGATAGAATTACACAAAACCTGTCGAGTAGGCTTGTGGAGGTTACATAGAAGCAACTTGCAACCTACAAAGAAATCAAAGAAATTGAGGGACGAAGTATGTTATTCTATATGAGGGAGCTGGTTGCCTTTGAATAAGAACAAAACCAAATTTGTATCATAAAATTAGGAGAAAAAGAAAGCGAAACTAAAATGCTACAACTAATATCACTTGAGCAAACCATTCAGCCAACTAAATTGTTCCTTCTGCAGCTTTTTGGCTAAACACAACTAATTAGCTAAAATGATTGAACCCTTTTATATGCTACAATATATGCATTAGCCTAAAAAAATCTACAAAATGAATTCAAATGGCCAGAAAACTGTTCAAATGTTACTTAGGCTCTACATCTTCTTGAGGCATTTCATCAAACACATATTGAGCATTGCTCCTCCAAATTAATTCCTTTTTTTAACTACAAAGTTAGACATATTCTTTAGTAAATATGTAACAGCAATTATGTAGACACGTAGATGAAGAAAATGGGATATTGAAATATAGATTCTCTTACCCATAGTTTAGACTAAAATTTTTCATGCTTTTAGAGGATTAAGATGAAGGAATCTGGCTTTTACAGTTAGAGTACCTGGCCACATCCAAACGGTATCTAAGATCTATTATACTGGATGTGATGTTTGATGCTGCAAAATGTAAAAGATGGCATAATTGAAGCTGTTAAAAGAAGATTTACCAAAAAATTCCATAAATGAAAACGCACATCGTTGAGCTCTTTGACTTCTTCTTCATCGCAGGCCTCTTCCGACTTCCAATGGAATGAGCGTTGGAGCAGCAATTTGATAGATCTACGGCCAGCGATGTCGTCTCCCACTTCTTCCGCTCGACAGCCCGTTGTCCATAGCAAACCCTAGCCTCTTTGCCTTCTCTCTCTACATATGTACGCAGGAAGCTTTGTATAATGTGCGGTCCAAATCTCACGCGTACTGTAGCAAAAAAATGGGCGGGAACACTGTAGAAAAAGAGATCCAAGCATTATATATAGTAAGATTGCATTGGATCTTGTAATAAACAGTTATTTGTGGACAAATAAAACTTCCATAATAGACAGATAATTAGGAATGGAGGGAGTACTACTTTACGGTCTATACCGTCTAAAAATCTCCCAAATACTCTTCAGAAAATAACGGACGTACAATGCCTTCCTTTTATTTTTCCTTTTCTTTGCATTTAAAAAAATACTTCCTTCGTTCCTTAAAGTTGTTTTCTTTGGTCCCGTTTGGTACACAGAATTCAAACTATGGAATTAGAATTGAGGGCATATAGAAGCAAAATCCAAAGCTGCAGCATGAGTTCTCGTAGAATCCATTTCTCACTTCCAAAACCTATAAACATGAGGAATCATAAATCAAAGTTAAAAGATATGGTTACTATTAATAGGAAGACATATAAATAAATTAACACTTGTAAAAATGCTAATAGGTTATGTGGTATACTATACAAAATTAGACCTGTATACTGTGGGCTATAAGATTCCATGAGGTCAATTCTTTCTCTTATTTTCATTTCTCTCTAATATTATTATCTTAATCTCCCCCTAAATAAAATTCACTTATAACATTCACACATTAAATGATTAAAAGGGGTAGTAGTAGTTGCAGGACTGTAAAAAAAAGGAGTAATCTTCGTCCATTCATCTTCAATTACACAAAATAGGGCCAGCAAAATATTGACAATTAGGTAAAAGTACGGGGCAATCTTGATTCTTGGCTGGATTGCATTTTTGCAATTTGTCTAATTAGGGGTATTGATTTGCAATTCAATCAATAAGGGGTGCTGAAAGAAGAAATCTGATCTCACAATCTAACCAGCAATCCTAATAACCTTGGAAAGAATAAGCAATCAAAATATCAGCCCTCTTTGTTTAACTAAAAGCTAGACGCGGAATAATAGATGCAGATATGAAAGACGAAAGAATTGTAAAGCAACACAAAGAAAGAGTGCAGATATGAATCCCGCAATGATTGATTAAAAGGCTAAGGTGCAGTAGGGCTTTAGCTTA